GAGTACATAGTAAAAAGGGTAGGGCTCTTGTCTTGCACATCCAGGGTCCAGGTTCCTTCCCCAACACCCTACATAGTCCCCCAAACACAGCCAGAAATAATTACTGAATACAGAGCCAGGAATAACCCCTGCACATCACCAAGTGTGGCCCAAAAATCTAAAACAAAAAGGAAAAGACAGATACAGCCAAAGAGAAGGGTCACATGGAGGGCGGGGATCCACAGCTCCCGAAGGGAAAAAAAAAAAAAGCAGGTTCCAAAAAGAGCCGAGATCATCGGGAAGTCCCAGATGGGGTAGGTACCGCATCCCGCCTCCCCCAGATGGAACCCCGGTGACCAGAAGCCTCTACAAGCACAGCTCGAGTATGCGGGAACTAGGACTTTTCCTCAAATCTGCCGGAACTACAACTCCCAGGTAACCTCTGATTCCGGAAGTCATGCCCACAGCCCGCCCCCCAGCACCATCTTTACAGCATACAGCCAAAGAGAAGGGCCACATGGAGGGCGGGGATCCACAGCTCCCGAAGAAAAAAAAAAAAAAACAGGTTCCAAAAAGAGCCGAGATCATCGGGAAGTCCCAGATGGGGTAGGTACCACATCCCGCCTCCCCCAGATGGAATCCCGGTGACCAGAAGCCTCTACAAGCACAGCTCGAGTATGCAGGAACTAGGACTTTTCCGCCAAACCGCGCGGCCGCTTATGCGGCCGCACGACATCTCTCTAGATACAAAGTGATCCATGGGAAGTAAACCACCCAACATTTCTCCCTGAAAATCAGAGTTAAGTTTGGAGCACAGCCACAGCCCCTGAAACACAAGGACTTAATGCAGAACCCGGCAGCTTGGAGCAGAAAAGTGAACGGACTATGCGTTAATCCAGGCCATCATGTCTGTCTGGAGGGGAAAGGGTGTTGCCCCAGTCGCCCTCCCCTCTCTGGAAAGAAAGATGGCGGCCGCATGGGAGCCTTGTGGACAGCAGGTATGAGCCGGGGGTGTGGGGCTACTAAAACCTCATGGGAAGGGGGGCGTTTCGGTCCGCCCTTCACGCCCTACCGAGGCCACCAGTTGCCCCCCACTAGCGGCTCTCCAGCACGGCCACGACTCCACAGCACAGAAACCAATTTCTTAACTATCTGACTTTCAGTAGAAATACTTCCAGGGTCAATAAGTAAAATAGCAGAAATCCAAAACCAACATTTAATTCTTGAACCCAGCTGTAGAAAGCAAATCACTTCACAATGCTTTTTCAGCAGGTCTGATTGGGGGTGGGGGGTAAACTCTAAATAATAGTGGTGAATCTTTTACTGAAACAATGAATCTAATCAAAGCAGATAGAGTGTTAACTAGAATTCATCTGCCTCACAGGGACTGGGAGGGGTGGGGGATGGGGTTTTATTGGGGTTCTTCATGGTAAAAAAATAAGTATTGGTAAAGGGAAATGTGTTTGATATTTGCATGACTGAGACCTAAACCTGAAAGCTTTGTAACCTTTCCCACAGTGATTCAATAAACAAATAAATAAATAAAAAGGAAAAGACAAACAACACTTAAGTCACACCTACAATGTTCAGGAATCACTCTCAGCTTAGAGCCTGGGAATCACTTTTGGAAGTCCACAGAAAACTATTCAGAGACAAGGAACAAATCCAGACCTCCTACATACAAAGCAAGAATTCCAGCTCTCTCACCAGCTCATTTCTGGGTATTTATCCAAGTGAATTAAAGATTTATGTGTGTCTCCCCCCAAAAAAAAATAAAATGGTGGACATAATGTTTAGAGGTTTATTCATAATCACTCAATACTGGGGAAAAAAACAAGATACTCTTCAACATGGGAATGAATCAGCAAACTAGAGCACAATGAAATAAACAACTCTGTGACAAAAAAGAATTCATGCGACAGAGATACTGGCTTATTTGGGGGCCCCATAAAAAATACACACATATTTTGGAGCTCAAGGATTACTCCTGGCTCTGCTCTCAAGAACCACTACTGGCAGATTTCAGGAATCCATATGTGGTGTGTAGAATCAACCAGGGTCACCATATGCAAAGCAAGTGCAGGACCCATAGTACTATCTCTCAGACCCCAACGTGGATACTTTTTAAGTGAATTTTAGGAAGTGAAAGATGTTGCCTGTTTCGGGTAGAAAAAGGCAGACAATAGTGACAGAAAACCAATCAGCAACTGCCTTGAAATGGCAGAAAGAAATGGTCAATAGAAATGGGAAAACACTAGTGGAAATTTTAGGATGATAAAATCATTCTGTATGGTGCTGCAATGGTGAAAACATGACTATGTACTCACCAAAGTTTAGAGAAATGTATCTCTCGAAGAATGAACCTTGATATATGCAAAGTTTTAAAAATTTAAAATAATAAAATGGATTTTTCCCATAATTTGATTACAACAATGATGAAAGATATAGACTGCAATCAATTAGATTATTGTAGAAGAAATGTATGGCATAGGGGGCTGGAGTGATAGTACAGCGGGTAGGGCGTTTGCCTTTCACGTGGCCTGACCCGGGTTTGATTCCCAGCATCCCATATGGTCCCCCAAGCACGGCCAGGAGTAATTCCTGAGTGCATGAACCAGGAGTAACCTCTGTGCATCTCTGGGTGTGACCCAAAAAGCAAACAAACAAACAAAAAGAAATGTATGGCATAAGGTCACTGAAGAGATTGGGGGGTGTGGGGAGGAACTAGCCTAAGTAACTTTGGAAACTAGGTTTTGGGGGGTCAGAGTGATATAGTACAACAGGTAGAGCATTTGCCTTGCATAGGACCAACCCAGGTTCCATCCCTGACATCCCATATGGTCCCCTGAGTGCTTACTGGGTGTGGAGCCAGGATTGACCCCTGAGCATCACCAAATGTGACTCAGAAAGAACTGTAGTGCTGTAGCACTGTCCTCCCATCATTCATCAATTTGCTCAAGCGGGCATCAGTAACGTCTCACAACAAATTGTGAGATTTGTTGTTACTATTCTTGGTGACGTATTCAACCCAGAAAAAAGGGGGGGAATAAGAAAAAGAGAGGCTGGAGTGATAGCACAACGGGTAAGGCTTTTGCCTTGCATGCAGCCGACCTGGGTTCTATTCCCAGCATCCCATATGGTCCCCTGAGCACCACCAGGAGTAATTCCTGAGTGCATGAGCCAGGAGAAACCCCTGTGCATCGCCAGGTGTAACCCAAAAAGAAAAGAAAAAGGAAACTATGCTCTTATATTTACTGTCATTTAATTATACTTCGGTATTATGGCTATTTTTATAATATACCTTTGTCTTTATTTGTATGATAGTTCAGGCAATGGGGTTCCAATAGTGTTTAGGTTTACACAAAGAGTTGAGTTTAGTGTACAAAGTTACTGCACATCATCACTACTGAAGTGTCTATAACCTCACCACCACTATCCTTAAGTCACCCCTAATCTGATCTTCATTCTCCTCCATCCCTTCCCTTACACTTTTAATAAATTTTGTAATCCAAAGCCAAGGGTTCTTATCATTGTCCAATATGTATATCTTTGTGTGTGATCATCGAGTATTTGTTCTCCTAGCACCTTAGTACCACCAATGTTCCCCCCCCAAAAAAATTTAATGCAATGGTTGCCTTTATAATAATTCTGTTACCAAACTCAGCTAGACCACAGTACCCAGATATTTCTGAAGTTCTTTAGATGTGACTTAATACTTAAATCAGTAAACTAAGTAAAGCAGATTACCCTACAAAATGTGGGTTAATGGACCTAACTGAATCAACTTTAAGGCTTTAATTCCCCAGTGGTTTGAGGGGGTCCACCCTGAGGTGTTCAAAGGTATTCTGGTCTCATTGGTTTGTTTAGTTCAGGTTTTGGGTCACACCTGGCAGTGCTCCAGGACTAAAAGGAACCCTTAAACACATTTTCGTTTTTTTTTTTGGCATTACCCAGCAGTGTTCAAGTACTATTCCCTTGACATTGTGCTCAGGGGACCATGTAGTGCCAAGAATAAAACCTGGGCCCCTGCTATTTCTCCAGCTTCTAAATACAGATTTTAAGTCAAAGTATATGATCATGTATATGAGTTCACACTGGATAATCAAATTAAAAAACGGGGCTGAGGCCAAAGAGATAGTACAAGGAATAAGGAGTCTGACCAAGTCTGACCTGTATGGTTCCCCCAAGCACTGCCAGGAGTGAATCCTGAGCACAAAGTCAGGAGTAAACCCTGAATACAGTCAGATGTAACCCCCAGAAAAAAACAAAACAAAAACAGGAGCTGCACAGGGGCTACTCCTTTCATCTGTGTGTGTGTGCGGGGGGGAATGAAGGGGTAAGGGAATCGTTACTCTTGGCAGTGGTTAGGAGATTATGCAACACAAGAGAAGAAACCTGAATTTCCCATACGCAAATCATACACTCAGTCTTTTGAGCTATCTCTCTGGTCCCTGATCAAAAACACTAGCTCAACCATATGAGCAAGGTTCACATCACCAGTGCCATCATGAATAATAAATATGTGGAGAGATATGGAGAGCACTATCCTGCTGGTATTCTAAAAACCTTTAATTCTGTCTATGTTGAAAGAAAATATTAAACCCAATCTGATATTCTACAAAATACCTGAGCAGTATTACTCAAAATTTAAAAAGGAACTGGGGCTGGAGCCATAGCACCGCAGGTAGGGCATTTGCCTTGTCCACGGCCGACCTGGGTTCGATTCCCAGCATCCCATATTCTCCCCTGAGCACCGCCAGGACTGATTCCTGAGAGCAGAGCCAGGAGTAACCCCTGTGCATCGCTAGGGGTGATACCCAAAAAGTGAAGAAAAAAATTTTTTAAAGGAACTAAGAAATTCTCACAAAGCAAAAGAGGCTAACACATGACAAGTAAATGCAATGTGGTGTCCTGGATAGACTTCCAAATAAGAAAAATAGACATCAGATAACTATGGATATCAATATTGAGATTAGTTAACATGTCAACATAGGTTTTTTTAACTACGACAAATATACCAAGGTAATCTGGTGCTCACCAAAAGCTCAGTTCTTTATATACCAACTGTACAGAAAGAGGAGGCACAGTAAACCCATCTCATATATGCCTCAGTCCAGGACCTTTGCTAGATCTATATTGTGAATGTGGGGACCAAAAGGGTAGGATGTTTTAGGAATGGTGAAACCGTACATAAATATATGTACATATATATATACATACACGTACAAATATATACATATGTACGTGTGTGTGTGTGTGTGTGTGTGTGTATAAGCACCGGACTATCTGTACCAGAGTGACAGTACAGTGGGTGAGGCACTTGCCTTCCACGCTAACAATCCAGGCTCGATCCCCAGCATCACATTTGGTCCTCTGAACCCTCAAGGAGTCATTTCTGAATGCAGAGCCAGGAGTAATCCCTAAGCAGCACCAGGTGTGGTCCAAAAACAAAAAACAAAAAACAGAACTCTAAAGACAATCTTTACAGGTCATTTTTGTGAGAGGCTGGAAGCTGGTTGGTTTTAAGGTCACATCCAGTGGTACTCAGGTGATACCACTCCTGGCTCACTGCCAACTGTTCATGAGGTAACAGAATTCAACCCAAGGCTTCACATATGGAAGTACTCTACCACTGAGCAGCACTGAAACCCCCCCCCTTTCTTTTTAAATAATTTATCTGTAAATACAAAATTGTTCTGGGGTCGGAGCCATAGTACATACAGTGATAGGGCATTTGCCTTGCATGCGGCTGACTCAGGTTCGATCCCAGACATCCCATATGATCCCCTGAGCACCGCCAGGAGTAATTCCTGCTTGCAGAGCCAGGAGTAACTAACCCCTGAGCATCACTGGATATGACCCAAAAAGAAAGAAAGAGAGAGAAAGAGAAAGAGAAAGAGAGAGAGAGAGAGAGAGAGAGAGAGAGAGAGAGAGAGATTGTTCTAAAATTTAAGTCTTGTAAAATCTATCACACCAATGTTGCTTCCTCCTAAACTCACACCATATGCCTTAGACTGAAAAGGACAGCAAGCAGCACAGTACCCTCACCTGTATCACTGCTGCACCTGCGAAAGTTCAATATAAACTAAATCAGATGGTGAGTTTTGTTGTTTCCACCAGGCAAATGTTAAAGGTAGAAGAAGCAACAAATCCTAAGGGAAGGATGTAGAAACAACCAGAGACAGACATCGAAAATAACAGTATTTCCCAAAGGAACCAGCATACTACCATATATGTTCACAGTAATCTGAAAAATGATTAGCACAGTTCTAAGTCCAAGACATCTAATGATGACGATATAAACCACTGGAGGTGGGGGGGAAGGGAGGTCGGTGTTTTGTTTGCGGAATGGTTGTCGGTTATTTGGTTTGGGGGGAAGTCTTTTTTGATTGTTTATGGGTCACACCCAGCAATGCTCAGGGGTCACTCCTGGCTCTGCACTCAGGAAATCACTCCGGTGATGCTCAGGAGACTATGTCAGGGATCAAACCCAGGTCTGCTGCGTGCAAGGTCAACACCCTACCTGCCATACCATCTCTTCCAAACGATATAAACCACTGTATAGATGACAACTATGAAGAAACAAAAAGTCCTAAGAAAGACCTCTTTTAGAAAGGGAGTGGTGATACTATAGAGTAGGACACTTGCCTTGCATGTGGGCAGCTGACCAGGGTTCTATCCTCAGCATCCCATGTGATCCCCTGAGCGAGACTAGGAGTGATGTCTCAGCACAGGACCAGGAGTAAAGTCCTGAGCATCACCAGATATGCACCACCTTTGCCCACCCCCCACCCCACCCCCGCCAAAAAAAGCCTCTTGAAAATTCCAGGCCTGCTTGAAGTTGGAATGGGGGGGACGGAAGTCCCAGAAGCAATGCCCACATTCCATGCGACTGCAATGCCATGCTGAACTGTCCAATTAAATATTCTGGGTTATCTGGAATAGGGGGGTGCATTCGAAGCAGCGCACCACCTCCAAACTCTACAACACTGACATCCTAGAAGTGGCACGCCAGATTGGATGAGATATAACAAAGAAACCAACCAATCTCGACTAACAGAAACATTAACACAGAAGACTTAACTTGCAACAGGAGCTTAGTAAACCCTTAGACTAGGACTTATGATCCCATGATGAGATATAACAATTTTCACAAATTTTCTCCTACAGAAATATGTATTTTTAATTGACATACTATTACAAAATTGTTCAAGATTGGGTTTCAGTCATACAATGTTCCAAAACCCATCCCTTCACCAGTGTACATTTCTCACTGCTAATTTCCCTGTCACCACCCCTGTCCGAGCCTGCCTCTACAGCAGACACTTTTCTTTCCCTCCTTTTCCCCCCTCTCCCCCACCTCTTTTGGGCATTACAATTTGTAATGGAGGTATTAAAAGGTTATGTGTATCCCTTTACCTCGTTTCAGAACTCAGTTCTTGTACAGAGTGATTATTTCCAACTATCATTGTGATATTGGTCTGTTCTTTGTCCTAAATGCCCTCTACTTCCCCATCTCCCATTTGTGGCAAGGGTCCAACCATGGACCAGTCATCCTGACCCTGGTTTCTACTACCCTTAGGTGTGAGTCTAATACTGTTTTTTTTAATACCCCAGAAATGAGTAAAATCAGTCTCTGTATGTCCCTCTCCCTCTGAGTCATTCAGCAGAATACTCTCCATGTCTACCAGTTCATAAGCAAATTTCATAACTTCTTTTTTCCTGGCAGCTACATAGTATTCCACTGTGTAGATATACCATAGTTTCTTTATCTAGCCCTCTGTTCTGGGCACTCAGGCTGTTTTGAGATTTTGCCTACTGTGAATAGTGCTGCAATGAACACAGAGTTGCAGGTGAATTTTCTGCATTGTTCTGGGGCCCTCCCAAGTTACAAAACATAATATTAACTGTCTTCCTGTGTCCACACAGAAAGGACACTGCTTACAATACAAATTCAGTGTCCTTAGAAGGATCTGATCTGACAAGCTAACAAAAACTGATTAGGGAGAAAAGGTGATTAACTGGCTGGGGAGGAGAGCACAGAGAAGAGCTTACAGATAAACAAGAGTAATGGGAGTGACTCAGGAGCACTGAGATGGGTGTGACCCGATAAACCTAAGCTACCTGAGGGAGGACAAAACAGTGTTATCCTACAGGGCCCCTAAGATATATTCCCAGAAGTGGCATTTCTGGGTTGTATGGAAGCTCAATTTCTAGTTTTTTGAGGACTGCCTCAAAATGCCGACCTGGATTCAATTCCCAGCATTCCATATGGTCCCTTGAGCACCGCCAGGGGTAATTCCTGAGTGCAAAGCCAGGAGTAACCCCTGAGCACCTGAGCATCACCAGGTGTGACCCCAAAAAGGAAAATAAAAAGACTAAATGCTGCTTTGCATAGGGGAGGTCTTGGTTCAGTCTTGGCACTGGACAGAGGCCAGTCCCAAGCACCCCTAAAAATAAAACAGCCTAGCCCCAGCAAAAAAATAAATGAGGGTATGAGCAATACTAGTTCCCCTTCCTAAAGTCACAAAGTCTGCTATACATAAACAACAGTGCGCCAAAAGCAGCAGTCTTGTCCAAGAGATAGTCCAGTGGGTAAACCACCTGCCTTGGAACTGTCACTGGTCACTGTCACTGTCCTCCCGTTGTTCACTGATTTGCTCAAGCGGGCCCAGCAACGTGTCCGTTTTGAGACTTGTTACTGTGTTTGGCATATCGAATACATCACGGGTGGCTTGCCAGGCTCTGCCATGTGGGCAAGATACTCTCGGTAGCTTGCCAGGCTCTCCGAGAGGGGCGGAGGAATCGAACTTGGGTCGGCCATGTTGGCTGCGTGCAAGGCAAACGCCCTACCCGCTGTAAGGCTGAGAGTTCATCCCTAGTGCCGCCACATTTGAGTCAAGCATGCTGCTGAGAGTTCTATTTTCTGTGATTCCCCCGTGCTACAATTTCTGGCAGCATCACAGCCAGATGTGTGTGAATGCTACAACTGAGGAGTGGGATCCCCAGAAAGCACTGAAACTGGGGGGGGGGAAAAAGATGTGGCTGGAGTAGAGTGTATAACGAATAAGATGCTTGTCTTGCATCAGCCAACTAGGGTTCGATATCCCCAGGACCATATATGTCCCCTAAGCCCCATCAGGAGCAATTCTTGAATAGAGACAGAAATTCTCCCTGAGCACTTCTGGACATGGGCCTCCAAAAACAACAAAGATGTGGGAGCATCATGGTCAGGAGTGCAAGTCCCCAATAAGCACTTATGAGCAGCAAAACTTAACCATGCAAGCTCCAGTGAGCACTACAAATGTACTTCTGTGTTAGCATAAAGAAAATGAAGGGAGTGGGAGGCTGGGACCACACTACCAGTGACTGTGAGATAGAACCAAAGTCAGTCTCAAGCAAGAACCATAGCTCCTATACTATCTTCTCTGACTCCACACAGAGAATTTTCATTTCTCTGAAATACAGTCTTCCTCGACTGATAAATGGGATTGCATCCCCCAAAAATAACCACTGTAAGTTGAAAGTAACATAAACTAAAAATACATTTAATACAACTGACCTAAGGAAGAGCAGTCTGTCCTTGCCTACTAAGCTTACACTTGTAATCAGTCTGCTGTTGGCTAAATCACCTAAGAAACTTTTTTTTTGCTTTTTTTTTTGCGGGGGGTGGGGGGGGGTGTGGTCACAGCTGGCAATGCTCAGGGGTTACTCCTGGCTGTGCTGGGGAACCATATGGGATGCCTGGGATCGAACCCGGTTGGCTGCTCCCTCCCTGGGAGGCAAACTCCCTCCCTGCTGTGCTATTGCTCCAGACCCAGAAGCTATTTTATAACATAAGATTCAATACTACATATCTCACAGAACTTACTGAAAACTGTACAGTGTAAAATATCAGCTGTTTATCCTCGTGATATGACTGGGAACTACAGCTAGCTGTCAAAGCTCAACATCATATAAAATATGGCACACGGCCAGCCTGGGAAAAATCAAAATGCTAAGTATGGTTTCTAATAAATTCATATTGTTTTTGTTCCATTGTAAAATTGAAAAACTGAGTCAAATCACCGTAAATCAGGAAAAGACTATATATAAATACCCAATGTACCCTTAATGGGTTGTATAAGTTGTACGAGAAACTAAAAACATTTCTATA